TTTTCTTTTCCAGCGGAACAATGTTGGCAATAACAGTAAAAAGCAGTATTTATACAGGTATTAAGTGTAGTGGTATAAAGTATGTGGTATAAAACTCAAAGAAAGGGAACTTCCAATACTTCAGCTCTAACCTATAGTATTTCTGTAAAGATGCCATAGATATACTATTTTATATGGAAAGTACTTGAAATACTTAATTTGAGACATCGATATCTAACAGAAGCACTCGCCTTGCCATTACTATGATCTCCACATTTAGCAAAACTAGAAAACATGAACTTGACGAAGACAAAATTTCACTTACCTCTCGATATATTGTTCTACCGCTGGCGTGGTGCCATCCTTCTCCAACGTCTCACACACGGCCACACTGGGAAAATAGATTTTGTCATACGGTGTTAGACTTTCGAAGACAATGCTGACAGCGGATTGCTCAAAGTCACGTTCAAATGTTGAAATGAGCTTGTATGAGCCAAAAGCGGASAGTATGAAACAAAAGAGCCAGAAAACGCGTTCACTAATATGCAATCTGCAAGTGAAAGAAAAGTGACGATGAGTACAAAACGGATTAGAGTAAGTATATTATGTTTGAGAATGAATACAGTGCTTTAATACAAGCGCCGTTCTCAAATAGGAAATGAGCAGGATATGGATTATGCTAATGCTAAAGAATGAAATGAACTGTGAGCTTTGCTGCTTTTGGGAGGAGAGGGTAGGCGCATTGCGCACTGCCAGACAAAAGCAGATGTGGCGGCAGACCGTGTGTTGGCAGAGCCTAAGGCGCTACGTGAYAATACAATCTGAATTATGCATGCTCTTGGAAGCATTTATGCGCTATGCAAGGCAATGTGCAAGCACGGAAACACAAAGATGAGCTTGCAGCATTGCAGCAGTCAACGTACTTACTTATTATTGGCAATGTAGCTGATGCCGGCCAAGGAGCAATTAGCACAGTAGTCGCGCAAACAGGCGAGCAGTGGCCAGAACATAACTGCTCTACAACACTCTTAGCTGGCCACAAAAGCGCGGCAAACAGACTGACGCTGGCTGGCTGGCTGGCTGGACGGCTGACTGGCTGGCTCAGAGTCAGTGACGCGAGCTGAGTTGGAGGTGCAAAAGGTACGAGCTTGTTGGTGAACTGAGTACGGGGCGCAAGCTCATTGATAGGCCGAATCGGAGGCTGACAAGTCGAACGTTTGGTTGGCTGCTAATTCGGTTGCTTCGTTAGCTGCTTGCTTACTAAGTGCTCCGTGCTGAATGGAGCCCAAGTGTGGTGCTCGAGTGCCACTGCAGCTTTCAGCCAACAAATAGTAGATTGCAGTAATAAACTATCCTACGGCTATAAGTGAGTATGTGTGTGTGCGTAAATTCTCCGTTATGCATACATATATGCATGTTGAATTGTATAATTGTCTCTTGTTTGGTTTTTGAATGTGTGCATGTGTGTGCCTGCGTATGCGTGTCGACCACAAGTGGAGAGCGTTTAATTGCTRTTTCCTTTTGCGTTCACCACAAACAAAGCGGACAAGGATAACGTGAAATAGCGCAGCACTCGCTGCGGCAACCGCATGCCACTAACAACAATAACAGTAATGACACTCCAGGCAGCGAAGTTTACAACAGTGTGACAATGTGAAACAAAATTTTACTATAAACGACAAAATGTATACAATTTTACTGCTGTAAATATTATGAAAGGCTTMAGTCCAACAAATACTGGGAGTACAATACTTAAATATACTGAAATGTGAGTATTGGTAGGATTTTGGCAAACAGAAAATATGAGTGAAACTTTGAGAGTCAATTAAGATTGGTTATGAGTATGAGTATAAAGACGAAATCGAAAATTTCTATGCGAACTAGAGGACCCGTCTAAGTTTTACTGTGGCTGATACATAGGCAGTACAACTAATATCATCTATATGATTTCTATTATTTAGATTATAAGTATTAGTTAAGAAGATATCGCATTTTTGGTGAAGCAACTTGTTTTAGTTTACAAAAACATTAATCAAAAAGCATGTCGTGCGTCAAGAAAGCAATTGTTTTTGGGTTTTTGAAATCAATTCAGTCGAGTCAACAGTCAGCCTAGTAGACTGCATATAATGAAACGGTTCTCTTGCGTGGCACAAAAAATCAACTGGCAAGGTTATGACATCAGTCTTTTGGGATGGCCGTGGTATATTATTCATCGAATGAATACTGGGCCAATTTTAATTCATTGCACGGTGCATTTGGTTGCAGCTCTATTTCACTATTCCCAATATTTAGCAATTTTATTTTTTTTTTTAGGAAAGATCAGTTTGAAATATACATATATACTTCATAGTTACCGTTTAAATATTGCACTGCTCTGTGCAATGCTTCGAAAAGATTGCTGTATATCTCAAATTATAATAGACCTTTTATCAACACTTCAGTTATGTGAGATATACAGCAGTCTCTATATTTTTTTTTTTTCTAGATATCGCGTTTGGTTCCTTCGCCTCCTTCGCCCATGATATAACAAAGTATCCGCAAAGAATTGACGACGCCATTGCATTCTTGTTCTCTCCAATAGTTGGCAGATATGAAAAAAATGTAATGGCTACCCATAGATGTTTTGAATCACCCAATTTATTATATAAGAACGAACAACCTTGTTCACATTATGAAAACTTGCTATTGGTCTACAGATGTCGCCTTTTAAGCTGGTTGCGCAGTCTGTTGGATCCAATAAAAAACATTCCAAAATTGAAATGAAAAATTAGTTTCAAAAAACATTTTTCAGTGGATTAAATTGTAAATCTAAACCATTCTCGAATCTCCTTGAACACACAAAAAAATTTCATCAAAATCGGTCCAGTCGTTCAGAAGCAGTTCAATTACAAACACACGAACAGTTGGTTTATATACCTAAAGATTGGAAAAATGGAAAAAGTATGAGTATGTACAGTTACCACGGAAATTCACAAAGAGCTGGAGTTGAGTATAAATATGATTGTCGATTAATGGGTATGAAATTTGAAAGTTTGATTATTAGTATTTACACAAAGATTAGTATTTATTTAAGAATGAGTATAAACAGCAAGTACGGGCATGGATATGAGTATGAATAAGAGTAATTACACAAGAATGAATAGATTTATCGATATGAGTAAGAATTAAAGGGGGTCCTCTTATATAATTGTGCAAAAAGTACCTAAAATTAGATTTTTTTTTTTTGTTTTTTTTTTGACGAAGTAAACTGACTTAGGCATGTGCCGCCATTTGAAAATTAAGTATCGTTTTTTTTCGCATGATTTTTTCACTTTGATATGTTGTAAAAAATCGTTCGTGATCAAAATATTGCGATTTTGTGGGTTACAGCGCCGGCGAATTTCATCTTCTTTTCGGTGGGTAAAACGTGACGATAATTAGTTGAATGGTGCAAAAACGATAATGCTTGCAGATTCGACAAATCTTATTTCGAGGAAACGCGTGTCAAAGTTCGATGTCGATATGTCAATGCTCAGGGCATAGGTCCGTGCAAAGTCGTGTTGCGACAGAACTAATTCACGCATCGAAAAAACATTTTATCAACGTATTCTAGGCAATTTAAGCCTATGATTTGTACAATAAAAAAATTTAATTTCTAAAGAAATGTGACTATGAGTATGAGTTAGAAAGAGCATAAATATCAGTATTTATATGAGTAGGAGCATTCATACTAGGACCAGTATTATTTTAGGTATGATTATGATAATGATTTTATGTATTTATTTATGAATATGATTACATATTCGACTATTGGTATTTATATAAGTACGAGTATGATCATATAATAGGTTGTCAAAAAAGTCTTGCGGTATTTTTATTGAATTTTCAATTGTTCATAAAATTTTTTTTTATGACTCATGCCCAGCTCTTGACCAATGCTACGGCTGCTACTATGTATGGCGGTCACTTTCAACCAATTCAGCGACTTTATCCAAATTTGCGACGACAGGCCTTCCGGAGCGTGGCGCATATTCGACAACCTCTACAGCAGAACGAAAACGTTGAAACCATCGTTGTGCGGTGGAAATGGAAACTGTATCGGGTCCATCAACTGCACAAATTTTATTGGCGACTTGAGATGCATTTTTGCCTTTATAGTAGTAGTGCTGTAAAATATGCCGTATTTTCTCTTTATTTTGCTCCAAGTTTGCGACGCTATAACTCACGAACGAGTTAAAAGAAACGACAATCAATCAAATACGTGTTAGCGCATGAAATGAGCTTTCCAAAAAGGTATGGCATGACCCGATGCCGACAAATAAAACTAGAACTACGCGCTCCAACTAGCGAAAATACCGCAAGACTTGTTTGAAAACCATTGTATCAGGCTTTGGAGTACCAGTTACCAGTCGAAAAGCTCGAAAGAATTATCGAAAGTTGGATTCAATGGATGGACCATCTGAAACGTAGTCGCGACCATTATTTGAAAGATTTAATCTTAAAATTATAGTAAATACCAAAGAATGATCTTTTGAATGATAATAAACATTCCCGATTAAGTTTGAAGTTTTTATATGAGCTCCTGAAGTATGAAAATTTCAACGTATGCTTTATTTTTTTTACCTCTAAAAGCATTGAAATATCAAAAAACGAATTACTCTCCTCGTGTAGCACGTACAAGAAACGATTTTTCTTCTCCAAGTCCGTCACTCTTTTGAATAATCCTCGCTGTAACATTGCTATATGCACTGAACGCGAACGCTGCCACAATTTGCCATRATTTTGAAACCATACTGGGGTGTGTTTGTAACAGCTTAATACTTTCCATTTGCGTTAGATACCGCTCACAGCTTTTAAAGGCATAATTATGACCACTTTCAAGATTTGTAATAGCCTGAGCAGTTTATATTAAGTTTGCCACGTTGTTTGCAACACTAAAACTGAAACTCAGAGACCCTGTAAATTATTTAGAATCTGACTGAAGTAAACGTGTTTTTTTTTTTTTTTTTTTGGTTTTTACTATAGTATATAATTACTTAGTATTTGTAAACTTACTGCCTGACCCTCCAATCTCTTGGGAAATCAGTGGCCACTCTGACAGCGGTACAGTAAGTTGGAAAGGAGTTCTTTATATTCTCGCTAGCTTCCTCTTGCTCTTGATGAGTGTCTCTAGTATAAATGACTGGAAGTTTGGGGAATTTACGCGACATCTTAGCCGATTTTACAKATAAATATGCCGCCAGATCCGCTACAAAGCTTGCAAAATAAAATTTGAATACATTTTTCAACACCATAGACCCACTGTGCTGCCGCACAACAACCTTGTACAACAAACCAGGCAACACAGCAATGCATTCACGTGAGAATTGCAATTAATGTTGAAATATTTTGTATGTCAATGCTGCATATATACATATATAACAGGAARCGCGCCAGTTGTTGTCGCTGCAGTTGTATTCGCAGTTGCAGTTACAGTTAGCGGTGGTGGCGCCCCAAACGCAAACGTGTTGCTGCTTCCGCGCAGTGTTCTCGCGGCCTTTATGTTTATACAACGGTGGCAGATTGTCTCTCATATTTTACAATGCCACAATAAATGCTTGTATATATAATATTAAATAAATAAGATCCGTTCGCCTACTCATATGTGTATGTGTGTATGCGTAGCGATTCTCCCATACATATATATGTAAAATATGATTAATTTATACAACAACAACAACAACAACAACAACAACAACAACAAATAATAGCAACCACACGCAATATAAGTACAAAAGATAAGCAAAAGATAAAAAGAATGCCATGGCGTATACGTAACGCCGCAACAAGCGCGTTTTGAGTGCTGCCAAAGTGTGAGTTAATGAATGAGTGGGGAAGTAAATGAGTGCGCTAGTCAAGCGGAAGTGTGTGTGTGTGTGTGTGTGTATGCGTAGTGTTGCTTACACAAATGTAACCACACACTAACACAAACGCACCAACACTTATGCACATATGGTAATGCACAACAACATGATAAGGTACTTAACGCTAG